GAGATTAGCATGACATTGGTACTTGTAGACATTGAGAGAGTCATGAAATATCAGTATAAATTTTTTGCCAGAGTAAAACAAAAGATTGTTTTGAGTAAACAATTTTGTATTACAATCATATAACAACAACAAAAGAAACCTTCTTATACATAATTGTAATATATAATGTATCTTAATCATGATATTCTATGAACATAACTAAAATTGTTATTGATTTGAATGACTATTCAAAATGCTTCTAGCAAAATGATTTTCATTTGTAATGTGTTTGTTATAGAAAGTCGCAAATGTCTTTGACTTATCTGTCCAACCGGCAGTTTTCTAATTTATGTGCCTTGGCCGTAGCGGCATGCCTAGTGCTATGAGCGAAGAGTATACTAACATCAATGCCGCTTAGTTGTAAGATGTCCTTGACCCATCGACTCAATGTTTGAGACGTAACCATATGATGCGGTCTTTTTAAACTAATAAAAAGAGATGTATGATTATCGCGGATATCTTTCGTCTTTTCTATATACGTATTTAAAACTCTTGCGGGACAAATTTGGGATCTATCTACATAATAGGCATTGACCAGGAATTATTGGTTTGAACCAATTCGAGAGATTTTAACTAAATCTGGAATACTGACAAAAATGTCACTTGGCGTTGATCTTATATAGTCGATTTTTATATTTGAGAAGGTCTGCATCCTGTGTGCAGTAACCAACACAAAAAGGGAAACTAATTTCTTAGAAATTTGTTCTAGTGACAAGACCTCATCCGGATACCATTTTTCTAAAAAATCTAAAATTTTGGAAGGGTCCCAAGTAGTACTACTATTCTGTCATCTGTACCTACCTGGTTACCCAGAGTCAGAGACAAAGCTGATCTACATGTATTCAGAGTACTGTAACTTACCCAACATGGAAAAGATCGGTTAAAAATTCGATTATGTTACAAATAGAAGAATCATACAAATCAATGTTACGTATCTGACAACATTGGAACAATTTCTTTAATCTAGAGTCATATTGTTTCGATGAGTTTTCCGAAAGTGAAGCAATCATGATGTCTGTTGAGGCAGTTGGGACTCCCTTGTTTAACAGTAATACTCCTGCAACCAGGGTAAGATGCTGGTGGAAGTTGCGATTGCTGGAATGAGATAATTTGTTACTTGGTTCGAATACCAAGGGAACGCACACCAACAGTTTGTTAAACATGGGATACCATGGCTGCGTCGGCCATAGGGGCACGACCGCTATGCCTGTAGCTTTGTCAAACATTATTTTTCGCAACATCTTAGTGATAATCGAAATTGGTGGAAAACCATAAAAGTAGAAATTTGACCAAGAGATAGTGAACGCATTAATGGCGTACGCATCAGGGTCCCTGTGCCAGGAAATGTATTTACTGCATTTCTTATTAATTCTACTAGCGAAAATATCTGTTCGTGGCATTCCAAATTGTCTAACTATTTTCTGATAGACATCATCACAGATCTCCTATTCTATATCAGGATGCACACGTCTTGATTCTGCATCGACCACATCATTATCAACAGAACTGATGTATGATGCGAAAACAAATATTTTTCGCGATTCACACCACCGCCATAACTCTCTGGTTATCTGTGTCAAGTTAGGAAACTGCACGCCTCCCATACGGTTTATATACGAGATCGCAGTGGTATTGTCAATTCTTAGTAAAATTTGACAATCAAAAAGCTTCCTGCTGAAAGATTTGAGGCCACAGAAGGCAGCGAGGATTTCCAGGTAATTAATGTGACATGTAATTTCTCCACAAGCCGCCCCCCACCCCGTAGTTGAGGCATCTGTGAAAATTTCCAAGTGATAGATCTCATCTTTTATCCTATTGACTGAGTGATCGATCAATCTGACGCACCAATTAAAATCCGGTTTTAGATATTGTGGAATATCCATAAGTTAGTTTTAATTTTGGTCGTCTTTTAAAATAAAAAAATTACATCCTTCAAATTGTTTTGTGTAAAGCCAGGCCTATTCGAATGCCGGGCAAGCGGATACAAGCAGGCCCATTAATCTTGCAAAGTCTCTAACTGTACATTATTTTAAGTAATTCCACTTTGTTAATTCATGCTTTATTTTATAAATTTTTTCAGATGGTAGTGATACTTGGAAATTTTCAGAATCAATCGTAAATCCTAGGAACGTACAAGATGTATCAGGTGTGGTACAACTTTTTTGTTCGTTTATTATGTAACCTAAGGAAGTCAACAAATTTTTAGTACTTGTGATATTTTCAATACACTCTCTGTACGACTAGGCTATTAAAAAAGCGAAGGTACTTTCTGGAATTTTCATGAATTTTTACCAGGAGGTAAACATCTTTAATGTCTACAGTAGACATGAAACAACCCTTCGATACAAATTTTATGGCCGTTCTGAGATTTTCTAGTTTGAAATGAGAAGTTTTTATAACTTATTAAGTTCCTTTAGATTAAGTAAAAACCTTGATTTTCCATCGGATTTTGGTATCAAAAAATCTTGGACAAAAACTGACCACAGCAATGATCACATTTAGATATGGCTCCAATGGATAAACGGCGATTTATGGTTTCCTTGTATTGCTCTCGTCAGAAGAATAATCATTCTGATTTATAAAGGAGGGTCGTTCTGTAACACGGGAGACGAAAACTTTATTTCGTAGCCATCTATCCACGAGTGCACCGCAGAATCTGTCGTGATCCGGGCTCACCGGTGTGAAAATAGCGTTGAAACTTGTGGAATTCTTTGAAGTCGCCTTCTTCGCCGGGGTAGGCTTAAGGTCCCTGAACTGGTCTTTTGAATCGCCTTAGCGGCTTTTAAAGTTTCCGATAGGTTTTTTCCGAACAGGAACTTGTCGATCTTTGTGTCTTTCATCTGTTCTTTCATTTCTTTCTTCACGCCGCTGAGAATGAATCCTCGTCTAGTTAACGACTCTTTGTACTGGCAATCGCAAACGATACGTGCCGCATCCATCAGTAGCTTTAGCATGGTATTGTCTCTCGTTCGCTGAGAGAAGAGACGAGTGATGGCCTCGTCCAAGGCGAAGATGGTGGAGGAAGTCTGCTTCTGTTTCGATTCCATCGCCTTGAGTCGTTTGAGAACCATTTCCGATTCAAATCCGGGGCGTCGATTTTAGTACAGTTTCCAGGAATCAAATACCGGTCCGAAAGCTCTTTTATAGTCTCCTTGGACAGGCCGTTCGTGGCGATATGTTCGAAACGAGTCGCTATGTCCTTTTGAATGTCTTTGCCGTTGGGCCTAGCTAGCGAAGGCTCCTCGCCCAGAATTTAAAGCACGCTTTCATCGAACTCCAGTTCGTGCGGCGGCGACGCCTCGCTTGGGCCCGTTTCGAGCGGGATAGAGGCTAGTTCTGAGGCGGTTTCGCAAGACCCTCCATCCGGAAAGCGCGTTTGATTTGGTGAATGTAGTTAACAATCGACGTAAACGTGAAGCAAAATAAGATAGAAAGAAAGTACTGTATCTTAAAACGTTTTGTTTTACATGAATTTTGTGTTGTAACACCGCAAACCCAGCCAGAGCAACCGAGGAGCCTACCAATCATCACCGTTACTACGGGTAAGTATAACTCGGTAGTTGTTACACCGCAAACCCAACAGTGAAAAGCTCGAAAAAACGCCGTTTACGATGACGGAGACGATGATGCACTTGATGAACTCACTGTTACTCGTTTTTTGCGTTTTCCGCGTAACACCTTTCTTTCTAGTTCTTTTAATCTTTCGATTTAAACTTAAAAGTTCACTTTCTGGATTTATCTTTCTTTTTCTAGATGATTTAAGCATTTTTTGGAAGAAAAAAAAACAATCGTCCAAATTCAAAGTTAATTCAATTCAAAGTTAATTCAGTGTGAAGTAGCCGAACACTGAACAGCGAATGAAACCAAATAGATCACCAAGCGAGGGCTGGAGTGCGCATTGTAATTTACAAATTTTGTATTTTAATTTCTTTTTACTCTCAACTTAGTGTAGGTAGTGGACGCACGTATGCGTTACTACAAGTACCAATCTCATGCTAATCTCGAAGGACGAAGCGCGAGTATAATTAAACATCAGATTTTCAAAAATGTTTGGTTAAGTTATCTAGAATAGATTAACCAGTTGCTCAATTTAGTTGTAGATCCGTTAAATAATACTAAATAAACAACAATTTAGATTTAACTTAAGCAAACACGATCTCTTTTCTCAAATTTAAATTTTGTAACGATTTTTTTTTTAACGAACTTTAAACATGTGGTATAATATATAATTGTACCTGATGCTTTTTCTAAAATCATAAGCTACATATGTGAGTACAGGAATAGTAATAGACTGTGGAATTTATCTTTCTGTTATCTAATCTTAATTTAAAAAATCGTAATAATCTTCTATGCAGATGATATCTCAACTTTTCATAGTAGCTGGAATGTTTTTGGACTAAATGAAACAGGCTTTAATGGCGTAGGTCACTCGTTTGTCTCTATCAAAAATTTGGCACTATGACTGCATTTTCTCATACGATATAGTTTCGTGGGGTAACGCGGCACCGATTCACATGCTTGTATTGGAAAGAGCATACCGCGTGATTCTAAAGTATCTGACTTTTTAGGCACCACACGTATCCTCTATATTCACAATACAGAGTAGTTTTAACTATTCGACACATATACCTTCTGGCTCTGATTCTTAAACACTGGCCCTTGATTGGATTTCACACAGATCTTCCAATGGATTTAAAGATTTCAAGAGGCATTCAATGTAATTGCTGCAAGGATTTCTTTTAGGAAGAACTTCTGTTGTTACCTAGGTGGAAAGCTATACAATTATGAGAATAAATTTTCCCATACTCGCACAGAGAATGTAATTATAATCTTATACTTTTATCAAAGAGCGACATGAAAACAGAACATGTAATTTCATATTCCTATTTGCATCAATGTTAATATCTTAAACACATACCATGCCCACAGGACATACGCATGCACTCTTCAATTCATACCTAGCTAAATTATGTATAAAGTTATAGTCTGTGTGCTGTTGCTATCTAGTTTGGACACCAGTCTTCCCTAAGCATCTACATAGATATTAGTTTGGTCCTTGTACATGAATAAAAGGTATTACATAAATATTATTATTATATGGCTTTGTTAAATCGTTTATTAGAATTATTATTACCATATTTTTCTTTTCTCAGAAATGATGACGATAAATGAATCCAAGAATATTATTACAAATGGAAAATACCTTTCATTTACATTTACATTACATTTATAGTATAGGTAGTGCATAGGTAGAAACTAAGTTTGTTCTACACCCACCTGGCTGTTGACCTGGTTGTAGCCTAATAACAGTTTTATTGTAAATTTTGATCTTCTGACCTTTACTTGGGGTTATAAAATCATAAACAGTCATATCTTATCATTATCGCCTCGGTTTTAAAGTTCGATAAACTGATTCTAATCTAAATAAGAAACACTACATACCTCCTCCCCATCAGAGAAGCTGTAGTTATAGTGATCCTTGGCTCGAGCTTTGACTTTGTCGGCGAAGTCATCAAATTTGTCACCCGTGGGTAACTTTAAAGACACCCTTAGAAGCGCCTCGTAAGCTGCGCGCGCCGCCGCGTCGTGCTCGTCACCTGCAGCCCATCCTGTCTCGCCCCAGTATCCGCCCTGGATTGTGTAAAAAAGAAAAATTATGTTAATAGGTAGCTTATTTTTTAATATTGAGTTCTTACGTTTTTGCGATTGTTACCCATAGGAAATGAAACTATTTTTCCGGATTTAAATCGCATATATTTGTTTCTTCAAACAAACCAACGTTTCGGGTCCTTTACGGGTCCCGTGGTCACGGTTGACTGAGGTGGTAAAGTGATGGTAGACTGATGACTTGATCGGTTGATTTGTATTTACCCACTTTTCGCTAACCAATTTCAATACAACTTGGCAAATAGGTGTAATTCCACAAACTTTTGCAGTCGGTTTTTTTATAAAAATGTTATAGGTCCCTTTTTTATGACACCAAGTGACGGGACCAGCAAGTCGAGCGCCTGATGGTAAGCGACACGCCTGTCTATAACAGTTGCAGTGCCACCCAGAGCTTTAAATCGCAAAGATCTGAGGGGCACTGTCACTGCGCCCGTCACCCTGAGATATAAGTTGAAAAGTCCTATGTGCCTGTAATTTCACCAGTACCCTTATCCTTCAAAACCGGAGCGCAAAATTGCTCACATTACTGCTTGTTTTTTTAAACACCTGCAAAATATCGTAGCCTTGATAGGTATAATAAAACCACATGTTGCTTATATCACAAGAAATAATACATACATGAAACAAATTATGTATGGTATGTGACATTTTATAGCTCTCTTGTTTTTAAACATAAAAAATTTTCGACAAAATTGTTTCATAGAATCTTTAACCCGCAGTCCCGAAAAATTATCATTGTGCAGATATGGCCTTATTACACTAGGGGTGAGATATGTGCCACGTCGATTTAACGCCGCTCACGCCGCCGGTCGGAAAACCAACAGACGTCGCCAAATATTTTACGATCGTCGCACATGCCCGATACATAACGAGATTAACTCTGGTGCCACTCATAGAGCGGAAACGTCCTGAATGACACATTATTACACGAGGTAATAATTGCCAACTCACTACGAAGAAGAATAGATAGACTTTCCTCGTGTAATAGTTTGGTATCATATTTTATATATACAAATTCGCGTAATTAATACTTCTGTGCACAAATAAATAGGTACATATTACCATATTACGTAAACAAGTGATTAGCATCGTCGATTTCGGTTGCTGACCAAGCGTGCTGGCCACAGGCCTCCTGTAACTCGGGCTGTAGTTCCCACACGAGCCCAATGCGGATTGGGAACATCACACACATATGTTTGTGCAAGACCGGATTCGAACCCACACCGTCTGCTTAAGAAGCGGTAGGTCAAACCATTAGCTAATAAAATAAGAGAAGTATTTATAGTGTTTTTTTTGTTGCGACAGTATGGGGATATCCGAAATCATAGAAGATACAAGGAAACTGTGTTAGGAACCATTATTGTTTTGTGAAAACAATTTTGACAAAGTCAATTTTTTGGTCAAGCGTGAGATGTTCATAAAAATTAAAACAATTTATCAAATTTTGTTTAGTGCTGATCGCCTCAGTTTCATGGGGTGATATTTTCATTGTATGACCAAAAAAATCGGGACAGAAGAAGTTGGTCCATTTTCATAAATTGTTTTTCATAGAAAATTAATCAAATTAACTAATTTTTTAAATGCTAATAGATTCAGTTTCTTATTAAGATAATTTCATTGTATCGGAAGAAAGAAATTGGGACAAGAGAAGTTGGACAAACTTAATGGTTCATAAAACAGTTTCCTTGCATCATCTATGATTTTGAATTTCCCCATACCATCCCATTAAAAAAAACCCTGTATAAAGGTATCTCCATAGATCACAGGTAACTCCGTACAAAGTAACAGCGCGACTTGTATGTGTGCACGACCGCTGCGCGCCATGTACGATCTCTCACATTCGCATAATAATAAATGGCGCGTCGGAACGACCAGTGTCATGCAACGCGAGAATATGCGAATATATGTGTCCGTACACGACACGTGGCGGGCGCGCACACATACAAGCCACGCTGCTACGTTTGTATGAAGCTACCATACTTGTCATATTATAATACTATTTAATTAGGCTACCACGGAATTTTTTTACGGAAATCCATATAATAAAAATGGGAAATTATTAGCTACTATAATATTTTCACACCCCGCATAAAATTAATAAAATAAATAACACAATTATTGTGTTAACAATAGTGCAAGGAAAGAGCTTATGAAAGACAACAGAAAACCGAACGTTTATGCATCTGATACGTCACGACAATTTTCTTAAAAACTTCATAGAAGGAAAGAGAGGCCGAGGCGAGCAAGACGAAGTATCAGGAAATCAAAGTTGCACAGCTGAAGCAGAGACGGATGGCGATAAGAAGAGAAGAAATAACACAAGCGCAACTACAGTCATAAACACCACCACAAAAAAATGTACCGCACAGGTGTTTCACCTCTTTACGATGAGTTATCAGGAGTTGCTGATTGTTGAAGAATCAATAACTTTTCCTGGTTTTTGCTTTCGTGCTCATACTACTCTGTACGCACCCCTATGAGCACCAGAGCAAATATTCTAGTTTGATAGTGGTTATTTGGCACTATTATTATTATTATCAACATTACTTAGTAATAAGAGCTGTCACACGCTGCGATTTTTAGCAGCGCATTTGTAGTGCATTTGTAGCGAGTCAGTTGTAATGCAACATCGATGCAGTCGCTAATTATCTAGCTTTACACAGACGCGACGAGAGCAGAGACGACTTTAGCAGCGATACATTCGCGATCGAGCGTATAAGTCGCTCGTGTTGTGATGCAATCGCACGTTACAGAGGCGCGTTTATATCGCTGCTAAATGTCGTTCTATAATATTAAAAAATCACCGGCAAAACAGTATTATGAAATATTTATGTCAATCTAAATGTAATGCAGTCCCATTTTTCGTAAATGAAGACTTTTATTGTTACTATTAATATATTTTAATTTATTTGTAATTTCCTTTTAAATAAAAGTTATTTAGTTAGTTTAACTGCCTCTGTGGCCAAACGGTTACCATGCTGGACTGTCACGCAGAGGTGACGGGTTCGATTCCCGGGACCGAGGAAAATATTTGTATGGCCTACATTTATTTTTCTCGTGAATTTAGGAGTAATTTGTGGTTGTCCATGGCACCCGCGATACAGGGTTTCCCTAGGTGCGGGGCTATGAGTGTGTGTGTTATTTAATAATTTACATAGAAGTTACCATAGATTAAATGAGATTTAAAGCATCTTTATAAGTTTATAATAAACCACGTGTGAAGCATTGAACGAAAAAAAATGTTAGAAGAATTTAGTAATAAATTGTAAATATATAAATTAAGGTAAAATAAGGTATGGTACGGTAACCCGTGTAATAATAATGAATCTCAGTCGGCCGTGATTATGGGACCTGTAAAGAATCCGAAGCGTTGGTTTGTTTAAAAAATAATAATATGCGCGAAAAAATAGTTTTATGTCCAAAGAAAATTATAATGTTTGTTTCTTGTCCTGGGTCACTTTCCACTTTGCTTCGGAAATATAAAAAGAGGATATCGTTGCGAACAAAGCCTTTAATCACGAACTGGTGATTAATGTAGCTCGTTCCCAACAAGGGTTAACACAATTTTGTTTACCTGCTGGCAATCCCAGAGGATATATGATTTACCGTTAAATATTTCAAGTCGACTCTGAATAATTTTGTAATTGTGGAATGAATGTGGAAATTACTGGAAATTAGTTATAACATCAATCGGGAAGAGCCTAAGCACGTGTATTTTCTTCAGCAAAATGTGGCATTTGTATCAATTCAAATGCGCTCACAAATCAACACAAACGTGCGCAAGAAGCGCGTTCGAAATTCGTCTGTATATACAGGGTGGAAATTTGTAATGCCACTTGGAAGGAAAGTACGTTAAATACTGGAGATAGAAATTTTTATTTAAAGGAAACATTCCTTTATTTTTAAAAAGAAATAATACTGCATTCAAAGATTTTCCAAAAATTGCTAGCGAACCCGCTAAAATCTTTAAAAAATGCACCCTGTACTTTTATTAAATCAATCGATAGGGTCAATTACGAGGATATTATCCATTTGAAAATGGATTGTCTTTTGTTATTTCCATTTGATTGTTTTTATGGTTTTTACCAATGACTTACAATTATATGGACGTCGGGTCCGCGCTAAAAAGTGTCCGAACTTATAGGGCGTTAAAATCGTATACAGAGCTTCATTCACGCTTTAGTCTTCGTTTATTTGGCTGACAGCGCGCTTGTCAATGCCGTTTTGTGTAGTAAAACCTTGTAAAAATTACTCAACTAAAGTGAAAAAACAGGATGGTGTATCATATTTTCAGTAAGTACTACATTGTGTTATCATAGTTATCATTTAAAAGTGTTATTTTATGCACTAGTATATATAGTATTTAATTTATATTTAAATTAATCGTATATATAAATTACAAAATCAAACAAAATAATCAAATAGCTAAGTGTCTCTTTCCGACTCATAGCTTGCGTAAAAGACTGAACGAGACCCAACACGTCAATTTCAATTGTTTCAAACACAAGCGTTTGAAATATTTAGAACAAAAATTTCATAGAGTCGCTTTGATGCTAATGTTATTATTAAAATATTTTTTAATACATGTTAGTAATACTTTCAAATATTATAATAATTTCTTATGGCATGGCATACCAAATGTATTTATTTCAGTTTTCCTCGAGATCCTATATTTTGCTCACTACGGAGAAATATAATAGCTGAATCGCGACGAGAAGAACATTTTATACCGAAAATATACAAATTTGTTTGCTCGTCTCATTTCAGACAATCGGATAGGTACATAACCAGCAAAGGCTTACAAAAATTAAAAAAAAAACGATAAGAATTTATTTTTGGTGCCTAGGCATTATATTAAATTTTATTAAATTTATATTAAAGCTTTGGTATGTGATTACATCAATGAGTGAACTGTGCATAGAAAGGAGATAATACAGGAATTTATCCAGTAAACATAGCTTGAA